GAACTGTCCCCGAACCAGCAGATCCCCTCATCTTAATGGAGGCTGACCCTGAAAGTGTGCGCGGCTTGGTACCAGCGGATGTTGGTCTGCGCAATTTTTTGTCATGCTTGTGTGCCTTGGAACACTGCCACTTCTCTGTGGCTGGAACTCATGGAAGGCATATCATCCTTTGGCTTGGAGGAAGACTTACTGCTGTGCTTATGTGCATGCTTCCTTGCCTCCCAGCTAGCTCCAGCACTGGGTCTGTAGTTGCAGTACCACTGGAGCTGGAATTGAGCTCTGCAGCCAGAGGCGCACTCCTGAGTTCCACAGGCCAATGTATGGGGGTGGGCGGGGGCAGAGGAGTGTTCCCTGTCTTGGTTTTGACTTCAGACTCATGGCAACCTCCATGAGGTGCTTCTAGAGGTGAAGATCCTGGCCTTCCTGGGTACGGCTTGGGAAGGACTGGCAGATACTGCACCTGGATGAAATGTGGGCTTCTTCCAAGCAGTAGAGGCAGCGTTGGTGCTTGTCACTGACTGAGAATGAACTTGGGCAGGAGGCACAGATCTTTAAACTTGGCATCTTCATCATAATCCAGTACCTGCGTGTGGGTGCTGGGGGAAGGGGGAGAATTGGAAAACAGATTCCCCCAAAGTCCAAATCCTACTAAAACTACTACTAAAAACTAGACTATGACAAAACAGCAACAACAGTAGACTAAAATTAGCTATATATAGAATTTCTAAACTTGTTTGCTTTTAAAAGTGCATCAAAGATGAGAGGACACTAGCAGCTCCAACTCAGACTATGCAGCGGTGAGAAGGAACTGGAGGCGCAGTCAGTTCACCCTATTCTTTATTACCTTGGACAAAACCATAAGGCAAAGCAAGAGTGCATGCGTGGATCAATGGACACTACTACTTTCAAATTCTCCAGCTCCGCAGGCATGGCATGCTTGCATAATCCCTCAGTGGAATACAATAGGGGGCATCACTCGAAGAAGAATAAATGGATTAAAAACTGGTTAAGTGATAGGTAGGTTTCAAGGTGTATTTAAAACAGGTAATTAACAAATGGCTATGGTTCTAGTGGGGTCCTCTGAGAATTGATTCTTGGCCCTATGGTATTTAATCTTTTTATCAATGACTTGGGGGAAAAAAACAATTACTAAAAAAATTTGCAGATGGACACAAATTGGAAGATGTTAAATAATGAAGAGGACAGGTCACTGATATAGAGCAATCTGGATCACTTGGTAAGATGGGCTCAAGCAAGCAATGTGCATTTCAATATGACAAATGTAAGGTTATACATCTAGGAACAAATAATTTAGGTCGTACTTACAGCATAGGAGACTATCTTGGGAAGCAGTGACTCTCAAAAAGACTTGGGTGATGTGGTGGATAATCTGCTGAACATGATCTCCCAGTGTGATGCTGTGGCCAAAAAGGCTAATGTGATCGTGGGATGTATAAACAGAATATAGAGTAGAAGTAGGGAGGTTATATTATCTCTGTATTTGGCACTGGTGCAACTGCTACTGGAATTGTGTCCAGTTCTGGTGACCACTTTTCAATAAGGATTTTGAAAATTTGAAGAGGATTCAGAGAAGAGGTACAAGAATGACTGCAGGATTGAAAAACATGCCTTATAGTGAGACTCCAGGAGCTCAATCTATTTAGCTTATCAAAGGGGGAGACTTGCTCACAGTCTGCAAGTACCTACATGGGAGAACAGACATTTGGTAACAGATCGCTCTTTAATCTAGCTGACCAAGGTATGACAAGATCCACTGGTGACTGCAAGTTCAAGCTAGACACATTCAGACTAGAAATAAGGTGCACATTTTTAACAGTCAGGGTAATTAATCATTGGAACATCCCACCAGGGGTTGTGGTAGATTCCCCGTCACTGCAGATTTTAAAATCAAGATTGGATGTTTTTCTAGAAAACGTGCTCTAGTTCAATCACAGCTATTGAACTTCAAGCCAGAATTATTACAGGGAAATCCTATGGCCTGTGTTATGTAAGTCAGACTAATTGATCACAAAGGTTATTTATGAAACCTTAAAAATCAAAAACTGTGTCTACATGCTATGCTCTAGTTTAGCCAAGAGTTACTGGGATGGATGCAGGAATTAGTGGGTGAAATTCTGTGGCCTATTTTATGCAGGTGGTCAGACTGAAAGATAACTTGTCCCTTGTGGCTTTAACCTTATATGAATTTCAGATTTTTCCCTAACGTATTATATTGAAAAGCATGACATATAGGTCACTACCTTGTAAAAGGCTATCAGACTTCATGAACCACTGATCAGATCTATTGTAGCAAGACTGTCAGTCGTTTGCTGGGAAACAAAAATAAAACAACCCACAAGTTTTGCTGGTTCAAAATTTTTTTTAAAGAAAACACTGAAGTGACTATAAGCCTTCTACTCATTGTTATGGGAATACCTTTAATCAAAACATTTGCTTAAGGTGTGTGTGTGTGTGTATGTACACCCCCCCCATATATATATATATATATATAGGCAGTCAGAACCCCAAGATCATATTGTTGCTTGCAGTATTTCTTAATCTTCAAACAGATGCACCAAGTTTTCATAAAAATTACTAGATCGCTACAGTTGAGGTTATTTTTGTACACTATGCTTTATTATTTAAACATTAGTCAGTAAATTTCTAAACACCCTTTATCTCACTTATACAGGAAAATAAGCCATATGTATGTTCTCATATTTTTCATGTAAAGAGAATACTTAATGCAGGCCATTCTCATAGGGATGGATTTGCTGAACATTGTTTTTCCAAAACAAAAAATTAAAGTTTGTTTGTTGGAGTAATTGCTGCAGTGTTTTTCTACCTTTACTGTAGAGTGTCTGACTTTTATCTCTAAGTAACCCTTGTAATCTTTAGATGACATCTTCCAAACTAAATTCTAATTTCCTAGTCCCAAATCATTAAGCTGATCCTTTCTGTGAAAGTGCACTAGAAACCATCTAGGTTATCTGCTTGCATGGGATTATTGGCTGCATTTAAAAAAAAAAAAAGTTAGACGTTGCCTAAAATGTAATGCCTTGTCACCACTTCCTTTCTCTCGCTAATATGAGAACCCGGACAAAGCCCAAGTGCAGCACAAGCTATGAGTTTCATAAATATGGTAGCTTTATTATAGGTTTTTGTGGCAGTTCAGCCCAAAGAGGCTAAGTCACCCTCAGAAGCTACAGATTTGTTACAACAGGTGAGAGCAAGGAAAAAAGCCTTTTGGAAACAATAGCTTTCGTCAGAGAAAAATGCCAGAGACTAAAGAGAGGGGAAGAAGAAGAAACAGAAATGCTCGAAACACTGTAAAAACTATTCTTTTGCTATAAAGCTTTGTCAGAAGCCTGGATTGAAATACTTGCCTGGGTCTGAACAGAAACTGATACTATATGAACTCAGAGGATTTGCAGGGCAATGAATAAGAGACATTACAAAATTGTAGAAGATTACAGTTACAAAATTAAACAGAAGATGGGGAAAATTCAACATTAGTTCCTGGTTCTTTTTAGCTTCTGTTTTGAGAAGCCAAAAGGGTAATGGTACATTACAGTACGCATAAACTTTAGGTATTTATACTGTTTTGGTACAACAGTTAAGACTTAAGTTGGTACAGCAACTTTACCTTGACATATAGGATTTTGAACTTGAAGTTGTTTGTAGTTAAAGTAAAAAAATCCCCTTAAGTTTAGGAATACAAACTATTTAGAAAACAATGCTGAAACTAGAGGTCCTGAGCTTCTGTTTTGAATCAAATGCTTATCACACATTCACTTTCAAATGGAAAAGTCTTCTGGTCATGCCCCGAGCACTGGAAGCTAGTCGTATCTATGGATTAAAGTTAAAAAGTGAGGGGAAAAATAATTACAAATGGTGAAGCAGATCCAACCACCCTCCTGTGAATAAGAAAAAAGTGCTGGTTTAGATAAAAAGTTAATTCCTGTGTAGTAAATCTAGTATCTTGCTTAAAAGGGGCTCAGTTAGCTTAAATCACATTCTCTAAAAACTGTTCTCCCTTAGTTAAGTTGCTATCATCTTAGAAACCTTAGAAATAGATTTTCAAATCAGATTTTTAAGTTATTGGTGTAAATGCTCAACAAGCAGTCAGCCTATTTGTTTTGATACACAAAGCTCTATTTATGTGCTTTTTAGGCACTCATTGGAATATAAGGGCCTTGGTTCACTTACAATTTTTGGATGTACTTTTTCCTATTTGTAGGTCTCCAAAGGCCATGCTTAATGACGGAAGAAAAACTTAAAAAAAAAAAAATCTAGTCCCCCAATTACATGTGCACAATTTTGATAAATTACAATAGTCTATATAACCTAGAATTTGGTAATTAACACCTATGGGAAAAGAAACGCTTTGGTTTCATATCCTTAATCATATCTCAGTAACCACACCTTTTGAATATGGAAACAGATGTTCCTGTATTTGTCAGACCCTTATTAGAGACTGTATCTGTTTAGAAACACACACAATAAGTTGCCCCCACACCTAAGCATACTGAAAAGGCAGGCACTTACTGTTGCAGAGATTTCAATTCAGAAGGCAAATCGCAACCTACATAAACTCCATTTGCTAGGCTGTATTCCAAAAGAGCACTGAAACAGGGATCCTACCCCAAAAAAAAAAAAAGTTATGTTTAAACACAGTAGCACATTTTGAATTCATTTGTGTATTTAAGAGAGTATTAACAGGTGATGCAAGAGTACAGGAGACCTAAATGTATTTGAATAAAGTATTTGTCAAAAAATAGAACCTGCAGACTGGTTAACAAAAGGTAATTAAATAATGTTGCTGCATTTAGCTGGAATTTACATTCTCTACAGATAGATTAGTATGTGCTCCTAAAAGTATGAGACGTTTCTGAACCCTGCATTCTGGAAAGGCACACTAACCTTATCTTTTTGATCCATTATAAATGATAAAGCTAATACACACAGGCAGGTGGTGATTCTAAATACACAGAATGCTTATTAGCTGTAGTCCCCCCCATTTCCTTACCTGGAAATGAAAGTGTTTTGCTCCATCCTCTCATCTTGGTCAACATGGATTTACAAAGCAGTATTTTTAGGTAACAATCATGATGTTTAGATTGATTTGGATACATTGTTAATACCTTGTTAGATTCCCTTTAGGCTTAGTATTCCCAAAATAATCCAAGGACTCTTAGGGCTTCTTTTGGGAAGATTGATTTCTAAATTATAAATTCATATTGACCAAGATCAGAGGAGAGACTAAAACACTTTCATTTCCAGGTAAGGCTGAGGACGGTAACTTAAAGAATGATGCTTCAAACTAATTTTCTCCATCTAAAGTAGGGTGACCAGATGTACCGATTTTATAGGGACAGTCATGATTTTTGGGTCTTTTTCTTATGGCTCCTATTACCCCCACCCCCGTCCCGATTTTTCACATTTGCTGTCTGGTCACCCTAATCTAAACATACCTAGAGTGTCCCTATAGGGTAGGGAAGATCGTCAATAGGATGGCTTAGACTAAGGAAAATTCTGACTGTCCTACTTCTACATATTTGCTTACTCTTAGGTCCTTTAGAGATGCAGAAGACATGGACAAAAAGCTAAATATTCTAAAGACTTGTAAGTGATACCTGAAAGTATTTTGACATTGTGGATGACAATGCCCATTATATTTCTTAGGACATGGAAGTCAATAGCTGTAGTACTAACATATACAAAGTCCCAGCGCAACTGAAGCCACAAGTTGAGAAGTTGAATTTATATGCAATATTTTTCTTTCTCCAACTGTCCCTTTACTCACAGATAGGGATACAAATTTAAATAAAGGAGATGGCTGTGCACTGAAAAAAAAAATACAGGAAACTAGAAACAGTATGCCAAGGTTCCACCTTGGAGGCATCTCTGGTTTCTAGGTGAAATTTACAAATAAAAACTCTCCCCTCCCACAACTGCCCATCCTCCAAACTCCCTCTGGGATCTGAAAGTCAGGCCAGATTCTTTCACATTTGTGCATCACCACCATCAGTAGGAGATCATACAGGCCAAATTCTGACTTTATTTTACATCTGTGCAACCCCATTGAAAGCAACATCCAATGGAGCTTCTGCACATGAGAGCAGAATTTGGCTCCACAATTAAAACAATTATGAAATCTACTAATACATATGCTAAAAGAGAATCCAGCTCACAAACCTAGCACTGCAGAGATAATGCAGCTAACATGAGTAAACAAAATGTATGACTTGACTTTTAGTGACAAGTCACTAAAGTCAAGAGATAAGGTGCCAGCTATGCATAGGGACAGGTATATGTTAGGTTAGAAGATACCATTTTAACCACTTTTCAAAGCAGAACTACACTAAAAAAGACAGTTAACTTTTCGTAACTGGTGTTCTTCAAGATGTGTTGCTCATGTCTATTCCACAATAGGTGTGCGTACTCGCCATGTGCACTGGTGCCGGAAGTTTTTCCCCTAGCAGTACCCGTAGGGGGGAAGAACCCCCCGCAACCCCTGGAGTGGCGCCTGCCTGGCGTGGTATAAGGGGAGCTGCGCGCTCCCCCCACCCTCAGTTTGTTCTTGCCAGACAACTCTGGCAGAGGGGAAGGAGGGCGGGATGTGGAACAGACACGAGCAACACATCTCGAAGAACACCAGTTACGAAAAGGTAACTGTCTTTTCTTCTTCAAGTGATTGCTCATGTGTATTCCACAATAGGTGATTGCAAGCTATACCTTCTGGAGGTGGGTAGAAGTTCACAAGTTCTCGGGACGGAGTACCGCCCTGCTGAACCTGGCGTCATCCCTGCTTTGGGAGACTATCGCATAGTGCGAGGTGAACGTGTGAACCGAAGACCACGTGGCGGCCCTACAAATGTCCTGTATAGGGACGTGGGCCACGAAGGCAGCCGACGAGGCCTGCGCCCGGGTCAAGTGTGCCCTCACAATGGGCAGTGGGGGGACACCCGCCAGCTCATAACAGGAGCGGATGCACAAAGTGATCTAGTTGGAAAGCCGCTGAGTGGAAATCAGCTGGCCTCTTGTGTGCTCAGCCGAGGGGACGAACAGTTGCGAGGACTTTCTGAACGACTTGGTCCGCTCGAGGTAGAAAGGTAGAAAGCCAGAGTCCGTCTTTATTTTCTCCAGGACTCTGCTGATCAGAGGGAATGGGGGAAAAAGGCGTAGTCCTGGCCTGACCAGGACAGGATAAAGGCATCGGAGATAGCACCCTTCCCTAGGCCCCCCATGGAGCAGAACTGGGGGCATTGTCGGTTCTGCCGGGTCGTGAATAGGTCCACCTGGGGAGTTCCCCACCTTCGGAAGAGCTGGTGGACCACTTCCGGGTGTAGAGACCACTCATGCTGAGAGGAAAAGTCTCTGCTCAGGCGATCCGCCCTCATGTTCTGGACGCCCGGCAAGTGAAGGGCTTTTAGGTGGATGTCGTGGGCTATACAGAAGTCCCACAGACTGAGGGCTTCGGGGCAGAGGATCGGGCCCTGCCTTACCTTTTGATATAGAACATTGAGGCCGTGTTGTCCATGAGGACCCTGACGACCTTGCCATTCAGGTGCGAGCGGAAGGCCATATACGCCAGTCGTGCCCTGAGTTCCTTGATGTTTATGTGAAGGGTCAGGTCTTGCAGAGACCAAGGCCTTGGGTCTGAAAATTCCCCACAGGGGCCCCCCAGCCCAGGTCCGATGCATCGGACACCAGCTCCAACTACGGGGCTCTGTCCCTGAACGGGACCCATTGGAGCATGTTGCTTGGTGTGGACCGCCACCGCAGGGAGATGATCACCGAGTTCAGCACGGTGAGGATCTTGTCCATTCTGTCCGTGGCCTGGGAGAACTGCGAGGCCAGCCAGAGCTGGAGGGGCCTCATTCGGAGTCTGGCATGGCGGACCACATACGTGTATGCCGACATGTAACCTAGCAGTTGCAGGCAAGCCCTGGCTGTCGTTACCAGGAACATTGCGACCGAGTCGATGAGCCCTTTCAGGGTCTCAAACCTGTCTGGGGGGAGAGGGGCCCTGGCCGACGTTGCGTCCAGGACTGCCCCGATAAACTCTATGTGTTGGACCAGGACTAACACGGACTTGGTGTTTACCAACAGGCCCAGGGCAGTGCATGTGGACAGGAGGAGTGCCACATGATCCCCCACCTGCGATTGGGAGGTGCCCTTGACCAGCCAGTCGTCCAGATAGGGGAATATCTGGACCCCCCCGGCGCCTGAGGTAGGCCGCTACCACTGACATGCACTTTGTAAAGACCCTGGGGGCAGTGGACAGACCAAACGGGAGGACTGTGAATTGGTAGTGATTCTGTCCCCCACGAAACAGAGGGAGCACCTGTGTCCTTCGAATACATGGATGTGGAAGTACGCGTCCTGTAGTTCGAGGGCAGCGTACCAGTCCCTGGGATTCAGGGAGGGGATGATAGAGGCCAGGGAACCCATGCGGAACTTGAGTTTCACCATGTCCTGGTTCAGGCCTTGCAGGTCCATGATGGGCCCGAGCCCCCCTTTGGCCTTCGGGATAAGGAAATACCGTGAATAATACCCCTTGCCCAGGAACTCCTTGGGCACCGCCTCTATCACTCCTAGTTCCGGGAGCCGCCCGACCTCCTGCTCAAGCAGAACCTCGTGCGATGGGTCCCCCAAGAGGTACGGGTTGGGCGCGGAGAAGGTAAACTGAAGGATGTAACTTTGGGAGATGGTTTTGAGGACCCATCGGTCTGAGGTGAGCCTGACCATTCCAGGAGGAAAGCACACAACCGATTGGAAAAAGGGAGCTTTATTGGGGGTGGATCCCTGCTGAGAACTGGCAGAGTACCCCCGAGTATCCCGTCAAAACCGCCTTTTACGCGCCTGCTTGTCCTTAGAGGACCCAGGCTGGGGGGCAGGCCGAGACTGCCTTTGCCGGCGTTTTCTATAGTCCCGCTGCCTCTCATGGGCAGCCTCATACTTCGGGAGGGCGGCCTGGGTGGGAGCCTGCTGCGGCTTGAACTTGAGTTTTGCCAGAGCAGGGACATAGAGGCCCAAGGTCTGGAGGGTCGTACGGGAGTCTTTCATGCCGTGCAGCCTTGTGTCTGTTTCTTCAGCAAACAGAGCCTTCCCATCGAAAGGGAGATCCTGCACTGACGACTGCGCTTCGCTGGATAGCCCAGAGAGCAGGAACCATGATGCCCGTCTCATCGACACCGCTGAGGCCATGGACTGTGTGGCCGTGTCCGCTGCATCCGAAGCAGCTTGCAGGGATGCTCTCGCGGCCGCTGCCCCTTCCTCCACAAGCTCCTTAAACTCCTTTCTATCGTGCTCCCGGAGGGAGTCCTCAACCTGGGGAGGGATCCCCAGAGATTAAACTCGTAGCAACCCAGGAGAGCCTGATGGTTTGCTACTCTAACCTGGAAGCTTGATGACAAATAAACTTTTCTCCCGAACGTATCAAGCCTCCGAGAGTCTATGTTCTTAGGGATCGGGGCTGGCTGCCCGTCGTTCCCTGTGGTTGACCGACTCGACCACCAAGGAGTTGGGCGCCAGGTGGCTATACAAATACTTGTGCCCCTTAGTGGGTACAAAGTACTTGCGTTCCGACTTCTTAGAGATGGGTGCCAACAAGGCTGGTGTTTGCCACAGGGCATTTGAAATTCTTGCCACCCCTTCATGGAGCGGCAAGGCCACCCTGCCCGGTGCCGAAGGGGACAGCACATTGAAGAGGGTGTCTGAGGGCTCCTCCATCTCCTCTTCCTGAAGTTGGAGGCTCGCTGCCACCCTTTTTAAGAGGTCTTGGTGGGCCCAGTAGTCCTCCTGCGGGGCTGCAATCAGCTCCTCCAGATAGGGCGAGGAGGCCGGTGCGGTGCTTTGGGTGTCGGCTGGCACCGGAGGATCCACCACCTGGTCGGACTCCAGTTGGGGTGCCGAGGACACGAGTCCCACCGACTCCTTTCTTGGCGGTCTAGGGATGGAAGCCAACAGTGCTTCCGACGCTCCGGCCAGCGAGCGAGTCCCCACCGGGCGCTGCGCCGGCGGCCACGGTGCCCACTGGGCCGGCCACGACGCTCGATGCCACTGAGGGTTGGGGGAGCGCGCAGCTCCCCTTATACCGCACCAGGCAGGTGCCACTCAGGAGTCGCAGGGGGTGCTCCCCCCTACGGGTACTGCTAGGGGAAAAACTTCCAGCACCAGTGCATGTGGCAAGCACGCACACCTATTGTGGAATACACATGAGCAATCAATCACTCAAAGAAGAAGAAAGCAGCGTTCAACACTGTTTTGAAAAAAAGTTTCATACAAAGGAGAATGAAGAAGCATTGTTTTTCACACCAAGTACACAAAAACTGAAAACAACTCATAGCTCCAAAATACCATACAATTACTGCACACACTTCTGTTTTTTTTAAAAACAGGGGAAAAACAAACACAACACCACCTTACTTTTACAAGAACATGAGGATTTCCCACCAGAATAAGCAAAGCCTTTGGTCTGGTAATTGCCACATTAAATCGTTTTGCATTAGAGAGGAATCCCAAGTAGTATCTATCATCATCAAATGAGCCCTCATTTGATCGTACCTAAAATTAATAGACAAAGCAACAGTCAATAAGTGAGAAGGAAACTCACCAAAATGTACTGCAGTCATAATTTGTTTTCTTTTCTACTGTAGTAAGGATGGATCAGAGTAAGCATATAAGAAGTACAACTTCACCCCGCCAACTATGTTGCCACTCTAGATATCCCTACACAAGCCAAGTTCTCCAGATGAGACTGCTCAAGGAGAATGGTGTGTAAAGTGGTCCCAGTGAAGCAGCAATCAGGGGTGTCAATCCTAATTCATGAGAAATTAGTAGTACACATCTTAATGAAGAGCACCATCTTAGTACATTATTTAATTTTATTGGTGAAAGTAGGTAATGTTCAGGAGAAGTTCTACTTGATTGACCCACAGACTAAGCTACAGTATTTGTATATGGAATAGTATTGCATGCTTTCTTACAATGCCCAGAGATGCCTCAAACCTAACATGGAGGGACCACCTTCTACAGACAACTGGTACTCTGGGACCACAACTTATTACACTTCACATTGTTCCCTTGTACTCTCCCTGTATGTTATATCCACCTATTGTCTCCTGTTTAGATTAGGAACTCTTTGGGGCAGAGACCATCTTCACTTGTGTGTGCGTGCGCATGCACCCAAGCTCAATGGGACCTCATGGTTAGGGTGCTAGCATGGAACTCAAGAGCTAGCTTCAAATACCTGCTCTACCAGACTTTCTGTGTAACTCAGGGCAAGTCACTTATCTCTGTACCTCAGTATCCTCACAGGTGTGTTGTGAGGATAAATACGTTAAAGACTGTGAGGCACTCATACTATGGTAATGGAGCTAAGATCAAGATAAGTACTATCACAATACAAGTAATGTGGCTTGGAAGCATTAGATTTTTATCTGTAAATGTTGGTACATGTCAATTTCACCATACAGAAACCAGTGAAAAAGTATTTCCATCCATAATCGAAATTCACAGCTCGGTAAAGCAAGAAAAATGCTGCTTGAGAAATTAGAGTTTGATTTAAGGCTATTTAGTTTGTATATTTTGACATACGATACTGAAATTTGGTTTTAATGGTTACGAGGCTTTAACTTTCTGAATCTCAAAATTTACGGTCATTAAATAATTATTGTCTGACCCCCTCATAATTTTCTGCAACTCTGAAATTTAAAGTTCATAAAAATTTTAAAAAATGCTTAAAAATAAACAGATTATCCATCAAAACTATATAAATAAAAATCAAATTCTGCCAAGCCTACAAATTTACGAGGTGATAAGATAGTTCAGTCTCCATGCATGTTTGGTGTTGGTGCTTTTGGAGAGACTACCAGGAAAAGTATCAAATGAGGCAGTGACTCTCATTAAGAAGTGGGCTGAATGTTAACTTTCATATAAATCAAATAGCTGTAGACAGGTTCATTATCATAGTGATTAAAAGTTTTCTCCTCTATAGTTACTAGCTTAAATCTACACAATATTCAATCCCCCAATTTAATCCCCCAGTTTAAATGCATTCTAAGTTTGAAGTAAAGTCATACCCTTGTATAAAATAAACCTTGTGACTAAAATGGAAGAAACAATTGTTACAATATAAACGTAAATATTTACCAACTACTACAAAATAATATCTGACATACTACAGTATTTGCCTGTACTTAGAAAAGGAAGTAGTATCTTAGGTGCTGTGATACATAAGTGGTAGATAAAAATACGTTGCCTTTTAAAATGATTACTGTTGTATAAAAAAAATTGCATTTTTACATACTGTCGATATGATGATCACCAAGTACTCCTGCCCTTGAAACTCCTCTACAGAACCAACTTTAATATCCATCAAATCAACATTTCGCAGAAGAAACCTAATTTTTTCTACCTATAAAACAAAAATATTTGAAGGAATTTGTTTTTAGATGAAATAACTAGTATCTTTCATACAAAGTGTATCAAAAATAGAACCTAATGTACAAAATTGTATACCTCTCAAAGCGTTTGCATCTGGATTGAGAGCAAATGTTCTAACTGGGAATGATTAACAAGAGCTTCTAGATAAAGTACAAAGTTAACATGGGAGAGTGTCATACCTGTTGCCAACCTAATAGGTAAAGTACCCAATAACACAGTTTAGGTGTGATTAGTTGACTATGGACAAAGTGAATCTCAACATTTTAACCTGCAACTGATATTTTTTCAGTTTCAAATTAGTTCACACTTCTTGGCCTTTTCATCACATTAATATAGCTCTCAAGAATTTCAACATTACAAAATTTCTTGGTGTGTATTTAGTTACTATCCAGTCTCTCCACAGTTTTCTCAACTGCTTCTGTAAGTAGGCAGAAGACCAACTGTGATGGATCTGGGGACTTTAATGAGAGGGAGAGGAGCAGAATGCGTCTTTTTTTCATTACTACTAGCTTTTTATCAGATAGTTTAATAGAAATATTAAATATGATTGACAGTACAATATATAATGCGGCTAGAAAAGTAGTCCAAAGTTAGCAATATTTTCTTGCAATAAACAGCACTAGTAGTGAATCAAAAATATGAGTTTAAATACAGAAACTTATCATTTATAAGCATCCGAATCAGACCTGTTTACGATATGGTGTAATCACCCCAATATCAGTCACCGACACTGCATTGTTAATGTGTTTCGCAAGAAGGCAACAATAACGCATTACTTGAACTGCTTCTGTAGGATTAAACCAAGAGGGGTTGTGTCCTTCACGTGTTTCACTGCCCTGCATGAGGAGAGAAGAAAATTAAGATCATATATTGAGAGTTGTTGCAAATGTAGTGATGAATACCTGCTGATTATCTTCTTAATACTTAGGAGTTGGTTTGGAAAGGAGTCAAATTATACAGCAGTGTTGGCTAACTTGATTAAATGTATCTACATGGTCTAGAATTAGATTGAGGAAAAACAAACAAGTCCTTCTCCAATTACTGCACTTCCAACCACATGAAATTTATGTTACTAGAGAAGAGTCTCCCACCTATCAAATCTTCCTTAATTCCCCAACCCCATTTTAGTAAGAATATTTTACATACCCTCATGCCATGAAAAATTAGTGGAAACCCCTTCCTCGGTAATTTTTCCCAACCCAACAAAGAAGTTACTACTGAAGTGTCTGCACAAACTTCCAGCTCTTTATGATAAAACAGTTTAGATGGCAACGCAAGCAATGTAGAATGTGATCTGTAATTCTTCAAAAGCTTTGTAACCTGCAAGGAAGAAAACTCAAAGTTCATGAAATGAAACTGCACACATACCATTACATCCTACAATTCTTGCCTTTCTCCCAGCACAGACAGAGAAGTTTATTGTCTGCGCTTTTCCTCTAATCCCTTCACTTGCCCCAGTGACCCCATCCCATCACCTGATCTCCTCCACACCTACTCTCACCCCCTCACTCTTTTCCTTAATCCCTCTCCCTCACATCTAACTCTTTTTCCTGACAATACAAGCATACTTAAGTCTCTCCCTTCTTTAAAAAAACCCTCTTAACCCCATTTGTCTCTCCAACTACCCATCTCCCTTTTGTCTCTAAGTTCGTTTGAATGTGCTATCTACAGTCACTGTCTGGAGTTCCTCTACTTCAGCTGCATCCTAGACCCTGTTCCAATCCAGCTTATGCCTTTTTCACACCACTGAAACCACTCCTGCTAAAACCTCTAATGACCTCTTCCTAGCTAAAGCTCAGAACCAATACTACATCTTCATGCCCTTTGGCCCATCAGCCCCATCTGATATTATCTACCACACTCTTCTTCCTGAAATATTGTCGTCCCTTGTCTTCCGTGACTGTCTTCTCTTAGTCCTCCTCCTACCTCTAATTGTTCTTTCAGCGTGTTCTTCAGGAATCCTCTCATCCTCCCTCCAACTTTCTGTGTAGGTTCCACAAAGCTCTGTCCTTGGTCCCTTTTTCTTCTTCTACAATTTATCTCTGAGTAATCTCATCCACAGACACAAATTCAGCTACCATCTCTAGGAAGACAACTCACCAATCTGTGTGTCTACTCCAGACCCGTCTTCTTCTATTCATATTAAAATGTCAACCTCTCTGTGACATCTCCTTGTGGATGTGTAGCTGCCAGCTGAAGTTGAATATGGCTAAAAACAGCTTCTAATAATCCATCCTAAGCCCTCGCCACTACCTCCTCTCTCAATCATTGTAGACAACTCCACCATCCTCTCACTCACACCAATAACCTATCATTTTTTACTCTGCCCTTTCTCTAGGTCCTCACAGATTGTGTCTATATCTTATCTAAGAGAAGGACTTGTCTATCCATCTACACAGCCAGAACTCTCATCCAATCTCTCATCATCTTAAATCTTGATTACTGCATTAAGATTCTTATCCATTAAGAATGCTGCTGCTAAGATCATTTTCCTAGACCATCGCTTTCTTTTGCACCCCTCCACTGGCTTCCTCTTCTCTACTGTATCAAAAATAAGTTTCTTGTCTTCATTTTCAAGGACCTTCACAGTCAAACCCCATCCTACCTATCATCTCTCATTCCCGATCAAGCTGACACATTCCCAATTGGCCCATGATGCCAGCCTCCATCACTCACTTGCTAAATTTTCGAACAACCACCTTCATGCTTTCTCACGTGCTGTCCCTCAGGCTTGGAAGGCTCCTCCCCTGTAAATATCTGCAAAAACTACCTCATCATCAACCCTTTAAATCCCTCCTCAAAATGCTCCTTTGCTGCTATGCCTATAGAAAACTTGACAATGGTTAGGCTGCTCATGTGCAGAGATCACTGCCTATCACACTAATTCCTTGTACTCCCCCATCTATCTACATCTATCTGTTGTCTCATCTTATTCTTAGATTATAACCTTATGAGGGCAGGGATCTGTTTGTTTTGTGTTTGCACTGCACCTTGATAAATGGGGTCTATGACTAAGGCTCCTAGGTACTACAGTAACAAACAACACGAATTCATCTCCATAGCACAGCAACAATTCTTGGCTGCTCTAGTGCAGGCTATACAAACTCATGGATCTCTTGTGCTTAAAGAAGAATATAACTGACTTTTTTGTAGTAAAAGTTCTATGACAAGATTTACCGTAGCTTTTAAAAAAAAATAAAAACTGGTTTTATTAAATACTTCCTTCTTTCCAAATGCTATAATGTAATTCCCAGTAGACTCCATATTTAGACGCAGCACTCAGCTAAAATAAATCTTAATGAAAGGGAACCAACTATGGGATTTTTAACTTTGTTACTGAAGAAAGAAAAGGGGACAAGCTCATTTTACGTGGATACAATTATACAGACAAAAGCCTAAAAAAGAATGCTAAACGCCGTCTTCTTGCCCTACCTTCTCTTCTCTGTGGCCATTATTATCCGCTGTGACCCTGTGTGATCTCAGGATAAGTAAGTAAGGCTGGGCTAGTTCAGCCTCTTGGATGGGATAACTGCTGCAAGAAGCGGTACTGGTGATTTATTAAATATTTTTCTTTCAGGTGAATCAGTACAACCAATGCTTCAGAATGACATTAGTGGACACCATGCTACTTTGGGCAAAACGTACCACAGACTCAGATCACTTGTGTTACTTAACTATTCTTTGCCCTTTTTGGAAAAAGAAAGGTGCTAGCTTGAACATCTGAGCGAATTCCAATTCCAGTAATCATAATCAGTTTAAGTTCTCCTGCTGTTTCCACTGAACACGCTATTAGAGTTTCTTTTTGTTTTAGCTCTGTGGTGAATGAAGTAGTTTTACAGTTTTGTTATACAGTAGACAATATTTACATTCACTTCTTTCCAGCAATTCTATAAAAGCTCATTTTCTGCTGCTGCAATATTATCTTTCCACCTTTTATGTGGAAAGATTCACAGATTTATACTTTCTATGTTAAAAGGTGGCCTAAAATTGGGAGGTGGGGCAATTGTGCCTGTGGGGCATCTTTATGGATAGATGAATGTCTGAACATTTTTCTTACATTTGTTTTTATTAATATTAAATACCGGGGTAGGGTTTCTGAGTTGCTTTTTCTACTAAAAAAGCAAGTCCTGTTTACCTTTGGAGTTTTATGGAGGACTGAGGAACTACTGGAGTTATGAAATCACAGAAGACTGAAGGCTTGTCTATATGATTACTTAGTTTGCAGCAAGATAGGATGTAGATCTGCCCTGCACTAGCCTAATGCGCATTAAGTGTCCATGTGGACCCTGCTGCCATACACTAACAGTTCACTAGTGCAGGGGTTCTCAACCCTTTTTCTTTCTGAGCCCCTGCAACATGCTATAAAAACTCCAGGGCCCGGGGAGGCTCAGGGCTTCAGCTGCAGGGTGGTGTGGTGTATGTGTGTTTCTGGGATTCTGGCCTGCGGGGCACAGGGCTCCAGCTGCTGCATGGTGCACTTGGGCATAGGTATAGTTTGACTTTCTATTTTAGGGATCAGGGCCAGGCGGGGCTCGGGCCAGCTCCGGGAAGGGAGCACCACCCTCCACCCCAACTCACCTCAGCAGGCCACTCAGCCTGTCTGTGTTGAGGGGTGGGGGGCACAACCAAAAATTATAACTCAAAGAGCATACTCAGCTCAAAAAGTATGAAAAGTGCTCATGGTGCAGGGAGAGAGGTAGCTAGGGGCTATGCATGGGCAAGGGGTAGCTTAGGGTGCAGGGAGAAAGGTAGCTAGGAGCTGTATTCAGGCAGGGGGATAGCAAGGGGCTGTGTACTGAGAGGGCCCCCCCAGACCGCCCCTCTTGTCTCTGCTCCCCAAGGGCTCTGCTGGCCCTGAAGCCAGGTCCCCCCATCCAGGCTGCTCTTACTGGCTGCGTGGGCAGGCAAAGGGGGCTGGGAGCTGAGGAGCAGCTGTAGACCCAGGCACCAGGAGACGGGGGAGCACCATGGCTGCCCGCTCCATGACACCAGTCAGAGCAGCAGCTGTCCTGTACTGCCCAGCTCTGGCTTCCCATTTTTGACCTGGGCAGAGAGAGAGAGAGAGTGTGTGTGTGTGTGTGACTGCAACACTGCTTTTCCAACGTTTGTATCAGATCTTGCAATTGTAGTGATGGTGTAATGATGAGTGAAGGTATGCACAGAGGACCAAGTAGCTGCTCTCCAAACATCCAGTATGGGTATGCCCTTTAGAAAAGCTAGAGATAGCTTGAGATCTCATTAATGGGCTGACAGTCTCTGTGACGGAGGGGTATTCACTATCTCAATAAGCTGTCATGATACAGGAAGTAATCTGTCAGGAAAATGTTTCTGCTGAAACTGTTTGCCATCTTACTCTGTCAGCACACAAAACAAAGAGCTGAGGAGATCGCCTGAAAGGCTCAGTCCTCTCCAGGGAGACGGCTAATACTTACGTATAAAGTATGCAGATGATCCTCATCCCTATTTGAGTGTGGCTTCAAGAAAAAACATAGGTAAATACGTTAAAATTTTTGGATGTGCTCTCAAAGCTGCCTGGATCTTTGATAAACAGCATATATAGAGGTCCTGCTATGAGACCCTGACGCTCACCCACTCTTCTGGCTGACGTAATAGGAATGAGGCAGGATGTCTTCTGATACAGGTGAGACAAAGAACAGGTGGCCATAGGCTCAAATGGAGGCCCATTAAAGAAGCTATCGTCTGGGGGCCCAAATGGAAAATCCTGCCTAAAACTGAAATATGTAGCATCCGTCTGCAGAAATGGTTAACACATTTTTATGAAGGGATTAATCCCCAACAGTGATTTGTTGGTGTGTTGTATTATGCAGTGGTAATTGAGAATTATGGGTGCTTTTGTAAATCATGTCAAATGGCCTTCACGGATTTCTTGAAAAAGTCCAAGTAATGACTCTTCTTTAATACGTGTATAATTATACATAGATTTCATCCCACAGTGATTTCATGATGGCAAATTTACTTTAAATATGTTCTCTGCTTGTTGTTTTGTCTATATGTGTAATTTATGATTCGCTTACATAATGTAATGTGATTATTTTACCTGCTATTCCAACAGTAACATCTATTGGGTACTGTCCAGTGCTGCCAGCATCAGCTATTGAAAAGAATACAGTTTTCACTGTAATGAAGAACGTCAACAAGATGTCTAGGACACTTGGCCAAGATTACAGTGTTTTGACATTTGATGAGGCTATATGTTGTAAGGCTAAAGAGATTCAGGGGAGGTGCCCAGAGGAATTTCAGAAAACAGTCTTGAGAATGGGTGGTTTCTACATAGCACAGACAGTTCTGGCTATAACTGG